ACCAAATTAAAATGGCCCTTTCTGATTGAAAAAAACCACATTTGTTATCATATAAGGCATGTTCTGTTATAAAGTTAAGCCATTTGGATTGAAGAATGCAAGAACTACTTATCAAAGAGCAATGGTAACCCTTCTCCATGACATGATGCATAAGGAAATAGAGGTGTATGTGGATGACATGATTGCAAAATCTCGTAAGAGAGAGGACCATGTTACCAATCTCAGAAAGTTGTTTGAAATATTACAAAAATATCAACTTAAGCTAGAACCAGCTAAATGCATGTTTGGTGCTAAGTCAAAAAATTATTAGGTTCGTGGTTAGTGAGAGAGGCATTAAAGTAGATCCGGATAAGATACTTGCTATCTAGAATTTATCCCCCCCACACACGTAAAAGGAATTAAAGGGTTTATGGGAAGGTTGAATTATATTTCTCATTTTATTTCTTAACTTAATTCTAAATGTGAACTAATTTTCAAGTTGCTTCGAAAACATGACCCTAATAAATGGGATGAGGAATGTCAGCATGCCTTTGAAATAATTAAGGAGTACTTGTCAAATTAGCCAGTCTTGGTATCGCTTGTTATGAGAAAACCATTGATTTTGTATCTCACAGTGCACGACCATTCTATGGGATTTGTGTTAAGGCAACAAGATGAAACGAGCAAGAAAGAGCAAGTTGTTTATTACTTGAGTAAGAAGTTCACTGAACATGAGGCCAAATATTCCTAACTGAAGAAAAATTGTTGCGCATTGGCATGGACAGCCCACAAACTCAAGCAATATATGTTATACCATACTACTTGGTTGATAGCAAAGTTAGACCCTTTCAAGTATATCTTTAAAAAAGCAATATAAATAAAATACATCAAACAATGTTCTAATTTCTAGCCTAATTAAGAGTCAAAAAACTTTACAGTCATGCATATATAAATTTTGATATGGGATAATATTCCATATAGCTCCTGAATTATTATATTTTTTCTAATATGGTATCTAAATTTAAAAAGTTTCTAATTAGGTATCTAAACTATATTTTTGTATATTAAATTACCCCAACTCTTAACACCGCTAACTATATAAATGCTAACATGGCATGAATATCTAATAAGATGTTGACACATGTTAAAAAAGCCTAGTTAATAATATCACATCATCAATGCCATATCAACATTCAAAGAAAATTTCAAAAAAAATAAAAAGATTTAAAAATTTTTTGAAAAATTCTAAAAAAAATTTAAATTTTCAAAAAAATTTAAATTTTTTTAAAAATAATTTCTAAAAATTTTAAAAAATTTTAAAAATTTTTTTAGAAGTTTTTAAAAATTCTAAAAATTTTAAAAATTTTTCACAAATTGTCAAACATCTTCACATTGCTGCTTTAGTCTATAACCTAAATTCTCATACCAAAACAATAGTAGAACAAATCAATTGCAACTTAACTTCATGATCATTCCAATCCTTGTTGTTGAAGTAAATGAAGATAATTCATTCCTAATACAAGCGACACTAAAGTGATACGACATAATTATTATGTTCTTTTCAATTTCACCATTTTCCTCGCTTTCAATTCCACATCTCAAAACCCAATTCCAGTTGTTGCTATCATTTTGTAGCCTAAATACAGTTTGATATGTACCCAAACTCAAATAGCCTCTCAATCTTAGTTTTATTGCTAAAAGAAACCCAATTCAAATAAACCTAGCAAAATTCGATCAAAGACATCAATATCATGCCAAACCCAACAAACAATCCATGCCCATGAAAACAACAATGATTACATTAAGAAAAAGTGGTTTTTTGAAACAGTTAAAACACTTGCAAAAGATTACAAATTTACCAAAACAAAAAGGCCCTTCCACAAGGGCTTAACACTAAACTTGCTACTCTTAAGGCTATTTAGACTCCAATGGAACTCCAAGCTCCCCTGTCTCTACCTTTTCTTGCTTCCTATTCTTACTTGGTACAGGCATAGCAATAAAAGCCTTGGTCTTGTTAATAGGCCTACTCTTTTCAAGCTGGATAGAGTAACCAACTTTGAATTGGTTATCTAGGTCATGAGCCTGAAACTGTTTCTTCTTCCTAACATGCCTTTTTATACTTAGAATGTGTGGCTAAACACATGACTTTCACGAACATTATCTTATCATTTGTAGCACAAACAGCCTTGCCTTGCATGGATTTCGTCGCCCTAATTGAAAGAAGAAATGTAAGGGTTTTACAGGATTGGAGAAAGAAAGAAGAATTAGGTTTTGAAAGGAAAGAAAAGCTAAGCCATAAAGGAATGGTGATGAAAGCTTAGGAGATTGAAGAGAGGAAGTTATTGACATTTTTTAGCAGAGTCTTAAGAGTTGCAAAAGAAGAAAAAGGGTATAAGGTGGGATTATGAGTTTTTTTTTTTTTTTTTGGATAATATCCGATTTGGTCCCCGAACTATTTTTGTTATTTTAGTTTGTTTTTCAAATTTTTAAAATTTTTTTAGAATTTTTAAAATATTATTTTGAATTTTTTTATAATTTTTATAATTTTTTTATAATTTTTAAAATTTTTTTATGTTTTCCTTTGAATGCTGATGTAGCATCGATGATGACATGCTAATTGAATTTTTTTATATGTGTTAGTATCTTATTATATATTAATTTTACGTTAGCATTTAAAGTTAACAATATTAAAGGTTGGGATAATTTAATACACGAAAATATATTTTAGATATCTAACTACAAATTTTTTTAGTTTAGGTACCATCTTAGAACAAAAACAATAGTTAAGGGGCTACGTAGGAATTATCCCTTTTGATATTATATGAATTCAAAACAAACCATTCAAGTAGTGACGGGTGTCCTCAAAATTTTTATAGTTGAAGTCGGCTTTTAGTGCCAATGACCAAAGTCCAAATGAGGAAAGGATTGACAACCGTCATAATCCTCACTATATAAGCCAGACCTCCCCTCGATCGATCCCTTTCCTCTCACATTTTTCTGAATTCCATAGCCTTTTGCACCAAAGCCTTGAAAAACAAAGAAGTTGATTGAAATCCTGCAATGTATTTTGCATTCAAGATCGGTTCGCTCGTGAAAAAGTTTGGGTGTCGTAACCCCAAGAATTCCTACAATCGGCTGGCGGAGGCTGAGGACACCAAAACTCTTCAGCCTCGAAGAGGTTACGTAGCACTGTATGTGGGCAAAGAGGTACGAAGTTCCTATCAAGTATCTTTCTTCCCCAACGGTTCAACGACTGCTCATACGATCACAAGAAGACGATGATCTTGACACCGAGATTGATGGGCCAATTATGATCGCCGCCTGCACACCCGAGATGTTCGAACGACTGTTGGAGGATACGAAGCACCATTAATATTTGGTCTCGAAGATTGGTTTCCCAAGAAGAAGTTCCAGAAAAAGGTTTAGAATAAATCTTGGTGAGACAGTGGAGTAAAATCATTCAAAACAGTATCAGATGATCGATCACTTTAAAGTTTAGGCAAAAACTTTGTATTCATTTACCAAACAGTGGATCTCTCGTTGGTTTGCCCCGTGGTTTTTTCCCTTCTTTTGGAAGGGTTTTGCACGTAAAAATTTGTTGCCTCCTTTTCTCGTTTTATCTTTTACGCATGCATTGATGGTTTGATTTCATTCATTTGCTTTTCTCATTACTTGATCTGTCTATATGTTTATTTTCATATACAGCAACTTATACTCTATACTTTATCGTTTGATTGCTGATTAATTAATTGTGGTTAAAATAATTGTTCATTATAATTAAGAATAAATAAATGTTTTATAATTCATGATTTCTGCATTTTTATAAATAATGAAGCTCTTTTTTAGTAACAATTAATTTGAAAGAAATATATATTTTTTACTTTCTGGAGAAAGTTTTTGAAACCAAAATAAAGACCCAAATTAAACAATATATATATTTATTTAGTTATACCTTTTGGCTTCGTTGGAAGTTGAAGTCTCAACTATCTCGAACTAATTACGCTATTCGAAACCCTATGAAATATTCTGCTAAGCAATTTCACCGGCGGCATCTTTGTTTTTAGGCGTAATTCCATATGATATATTATAAATGGTCTACCAATGCCAACGAACATGTGGCCCAGTAGCAGGATGTTTTTGCATTCTGAAAGGTTGTGTAAGGTTGAGACGTAATCCCTTCTCCCAATCCAGTAAGTTCCTGTAAATAGTGGGATCCAGTGAGGTCAGAGTAGAATAAAATTTTCCAAATGGTCTATTAATCAAATTAGTTATCGCATCTTGTCTTGAGGTAATTCGATATGATGTATTCTAAATTACCCAATCTAAACCGTGTTTTATTATTAGTCCAATTTCTTTTGGGCATTTTTTAGATTTATCTCGAGTTAAAAAAAACTAGGGATTTCTCCCAAAGTTTATTTTATAATCTTGATTTGAGTTTAGTTGAATCAATTCCATTTACTATCAATAAATAAATAAAAGCATGGACATTAATAAATTAATATTCAAATTAAGAGATATTTTTAGTGTCATTAATCTGAAATATTCAAATTAAGTTTTTTTTTTTTTAATTGAGTTGAAAACACATAAAATTTAGGTAAAATGATAAAAAAAAAAAAAAGAAGTCAAACGGAATTTCAATAATCATTTAAGTTTTTGATATTTTATTACAATTAATCATATTTTGAATGTTTATTTTGGATCAGTTAAACTTTTAAACATATATTTTCAATTAATTAAATATTTAAATATTTATTTTCATCTCAATTAGTTTTCCATTTGATGTAACTAAGTTTTGACAGTTAATATTCTCTAATAAAAGTTTAATAAAAAATTTATATTTGAATACTTAATTGATTATAATAAAAATGATAAAAATTTAGTTGATTATTAAAATTTTGTCGAAGGTATTTTTATCTTTGCCAAAAATTTATAATATATTTTTAAATTGTAACTAATAGCTTCATCATAAAGCCCAGCTATATTTTGGGCCTAAGGAGCCCTTCTACGACTTCAGAAGCTAACTTTCAAAGGGCCCTCATAAACCCCCAAAACCCTAGCTAAGCTCTACCTTTTACTCTCTTCATTCTCCTCAAACAACCCAGAAGCGGCCGCCATTTTTGCCTTCGGGTCAGCTAAACACTCTTTTTCTTTTCTTTCTCTAATTTTAGATCTTGAAACATATCTCTCTTTGTTTTCTCTAATTTATCAGTTCTTTGAATGAAATCTGATAGCAAGTATGCTGGATTTTGATTTTCCTAATTGATTAAGTTTAGTCCTACTTACCTTCTATTTTGTATGTTATTGATCTTTTATTCTCTGTCCTAAAAATGAAACTGAAAAGATTTTGGGCTTCTGGGCAAGTTATGACTTCATTGTTTCTGATGTTTCAAAATGTTTGGTGCCCTCAACCTTTTTCCTCTGCTTGCCTATATGTTAGCTTAGAAAAGAAAGTTGGGTTTTGGTTGGAATCGAATTTTTCAGTTTCTATGTTTCTATTTGAATAAGATATTGCTAGAAGCTAATGCAAAGTAACTTCGAAGAATGATATGCTTTTTTGTATGATTTTGGAGTTGTCACTACTTTTTTGAAACTGTGAATAAATGCTTAATTGTTACTTATTTGATGTAAAATTATCAGCAGCTTGTATTTAGAAGGATGGTGAGGGTCAGCGTTTTGAATGATGCGCTTAAGAGCATGTACAATGCTGAGAAGAGGGGCAAACGACAGGTCATGATCAGGCCTTCCTCAAAAGTCATCATCAAGTTCCTTTTGGTCATGCAGAAGCATGGTTTGTCTCCCTATAATCTCCTCTCTTTTTCATTCATAGTGTTAATCTGATCTACGAAAATATGAAGATGCCTGATTCGTTAACTTTTTTATTTGCTTTGCAGGTTACATTGGAGAGTTTGAGTATGTTGATGATCACAGAGCTGGTAAAATTGTGGTTGAACTGAACGGAAGGCTGAACAAATGCGGAGTGATCAGTCCTCGTTTTGATGTTGGAGTCAAGGAGATTGAGGGTTGGACTGCTAGGTTACTTCCTTCAAGACAGGTTAGCTTAGAAACTTGTTGATGTTTTAATCTCTGCTTGTAATGTCTTCATAAGAATTTTTTCTTTTATTTCCTAAGAAGAAGCAGTATATTCTAAGATTAAGAAATTTGAAGGTGGAAACAAACTTGGATTTATGCATCATTATTTGGTCTTTTTACTGTTTTTGTAGCCGACATATGTTTATGGAAGGTTTGTTCAATTGAAATGAGGGTTGTATTTTAAGCGTTTATGTGTTTTATCATTGCAGTTTGGTTATATTGTGCTCACCACATCTGCTGGAATCATGGACCATGAAGAAGCCAGAAGAAAGAATGTTGGTGGAAAAGTACTTGGCTTCTTCTATTGAGACCAATTTCTGAGAATATTCATTTTTGATATCCTTTCTCGATAGTTATCCCTATAAGGGTTGGTATAATTCTTATTTTGTATTTTGGGCATTATATTTTATGTTTTGTTTATGACATTTGAGACTTTGAATTGTCTGGTTTTCCATAGATAATAGTTCTCTTCCTTTGTTATCAAACAATTGAAAGAGGTTTTCGGTTTGGAAGTTTCAGCTTATGGATTTCTATTTTGCTTTCTATTTGATTTTGGTTTTTGTGAATGTCATGTTCCAATATGCATATAGTCAATTATATAGCATGCTGAAGAGTTTAGAATCTAATCAATTATTTGGAGCATTATTAATTAGATGAACTCAAGAGGCACAGGGTGATTTATATTTGTAACACCGAGGCAAAAACTAACATTTTAGGCTCTATGTGGTTGGTTCTTGATGTCTTCATTTTCTAAGAAAAAAAAAAGGATTGAAATCAAACTGTCGTACATATGATGGCTTGTTACTTGTACGGCATGATAGCTCAATATCTTAAGGGCTTATGGCTCAATATCTTGGGAAAACAGGTGTAATATAAGTGTTTTTTTTTTAATGTAATAATTAAACTGCATGTTTATTTTATATTCATAAATATAAAATGGAAAATATAGAGAGACATGCATCACATTGTATGTTTTAAGTTTTGCAGCCACTTATACGAAATTCATCTTATGTTTGTTTGGCAGAAAATTAATTTGGATTTTGTTTATTTCACAAAAAAATCTTGCAAAAAATGATTTTCTAAAATTTTTTGTGTTTATTTGATTGAAAATTAGTTGATCAATGAAAAATGACTTTTTGGATAAATAAAAAAATGAAATCATTTTTCCAAAAGTTATCTTTTTTATTTTTCAAAAGAAGAAAATATTTTTTGAAAAATAACTATTTATGCGTAAGGTTACATTTAGGGTTGATATCGGGTTGGGTTCGGGGTTGGTTTTGCTCGCCCCGAATTCGATCTTACCCGAAAATATTTTTGGTTTTTTATATCCGACCCGACCACGATATCATGTAAATCGTATCCGATTCGACTTGACCCAAAATTAATAAAATATTTTTTTTTAAATATAAAATATTATTTTTAAAATGTAAATATTTAAAAATATCATTATATAAATATATATAATAAATAATTAAATAATTAATTAAAAAATAATTTTTTATATAATATCGGGTCGGGTTTTAGGCAAACTCGACCCCGAATGTTTTTTTATTTTATCCGATCCGATCTCGAAATTCGAATTTCAAAAAAAAAAATCGATCTTATGAGGTCGGGTCGGATCGAAACCCGTTGGAGATGAGTTAGCTCGCCATCCCTAGTTACAATGCTCATGAGTATAATTTTACTCAAATTGGGCCATGAATATTATTTTTTTAAACTCAAATTTAATTTAACTTAACTCAAATATTATTATATTAATTTGAGTTTCGTTTACTTATTTTGGACAAAATAATTTAATTGTAGCTGAGGCCTTTCAAGATATTAATTTTGCAATATTGCAAGAAGAATCTTGCAATTTTTAAGGTCTCCAAGAAGGTTTTCATTACCGATTCCTTGCCAAAAACCCGACTAGCAAAATCCAGTGGAGGATTGTAGCAGAGCATTTCTTTTTTCGTACCTTTTGCTTTGTATTTCTTTGACCTTTTGAGTGTGGTGGCGAGGGTCAGGTTACTTAGGTATAGACTTATGTCGCTGTAGCTTTTTTTTTTTTTTTTAACTTATTAGAATTAAAATGATTCTTGAAATAGACTGATGACATAAAGTAATTCTGATGTAAAATTATTTGTCTTCAAAATTTTCAAGTTGAATTTACAATGGAAACATACTGTTGAAATTGCTAATAAAAAGAGAAAAGCAATATAACTGGTATGTAAATTGTGGAGACAAGTCGAGAGAAAATTAACAATACAGTGATCTAAACACCAGAAACAGGCAAGGTGAGATTGCACCAATGGACTGCACATGCACAAAAATATTCAAAGCACAACAAAAGCGTTCAAATATCCTACAAGCTACAAGGACACTGGGGCAAGCATATTCCATCAATTTCAAGCCTCTTCCCCTTATTCCTCCATTTCCACGCACTCCTCGTCGTCTGCAGTTGCATCCTAGTACTGTTTTGGTACTCTCAGACCAAATCATTCATGTTGCTCTCAGCTTCTGAGACCTCCATCTCAACCATCCCCTCTCCGGTGTACCAATGCAAGAAAGCCTTCTTGCGGAACATAGCAGTGAATTGCTCAGGGGACCCTCCTGAACATCTATTGGATTGAAGTAGAATTCCCAATAAATGTGTATACTAAGGATGGACTTCACATTGTTTGGAGTCCATTCAACAAAGAGTTAACTATCGGAGAAGAAGGAAAAAATATTTTGAAAATAACAAAAAAAGTCACGATTTCGAATAGAAAATAAAAAAATAAATCATAAAGTAATTAAATATTATAATTAAAATATCAAAAGTCACTTTAAATTCACCTCAAACTACAAAGTGATTTTATATAATTTACCAAAAAAATAAATAAAGTTTCTTTTGATTTATGCTTTTAGTATTTGCTTTTTGTTGTTGTCTTTTATTTTTTATGTTTTACCAATTATTTTTTCTATTTTTTGCAAAGGAAAAAGGAAGTAAAAGTAAATTTATTAACTAAAAGGAAGGTAAATAACCTCAAAAGAACATTTTAAATGGACAAAATTATAGTAGTATAAAATTAGATAACAAAGACTGATAGTTGTAGAAAGCCACCAACAAATCAATGGACAATGACTACTTACTATTACCAGCATAGGCAATGCTAGGAGCATCTAATTTTCTTTGTAAAGACTAAAAATGCGCTTCTAACTCCAAATTTAATTTAATTTTGCTTCTAAGAAATAACATCCCCGAAATTTAATTTAATTTAATTTATTCGTATAATTAGTTTTAAGAAATAACATCAAATAAATCTCGGGTTCACTCATTTTTTTCCAACTGCTGAAAAACATATTTTGCTCAATTCTAGTTTCCAACTGAGAAATTGAGCACAATCCACCAAATTCCAAATTAAACGCAGAAAAGAAAATTACAAAACACCAGCTAAATTAAAAGTTGAAAAGAATTAAGTTGTTGAACCCAATATAGAAGAGTAACCTAAAAAATTGCAAAAATTGCCCTTATGCTATCACTCAAAGTTTCTATGTAATTGTAGTGTAATTGATAGTACAATCCATACAAATATTGTTTCCACCAATAAACAACAAAACATGAAATACATTAGAATTTCTAGTGCATCCTCCAATTCTCTATTGCTAGTACTACATTTCAAAATCTAACAAATAGTTGCTATTTTATTTACAAAAAAATACACCTAGAAAAAGATTAGTCAACAAAAATACAATTTAAAGTTTCATATTTTGAAGTTGGCCCGCAAATAAAGATTACCAAGTCAATAAAGTAATTATAAAAAAATCTTATAAATAAAAGCCATGTCATAGAACTATACCTCAAAGATCATGATATTCATTAGCTCCAAATGCAGCTTCATCACTCAATTTCAGGGAATGATTAACACTTGAGCAATGCTTCAAGGCATCTCCCAGTGCTTGATGTGCAATATTATAGCTTTCATGAGACATAGAGCCCTCCTCAATCAATTCAATAGCTCTTTGAAACAAAATATCACGACGTTGCTTCTTTGATTGCACTTCTTCACATGTACTTCCTTTCTTGTATTTGGTTCTAACATCTTTAGTCCATCTCTTTACTATGTAGCGAGATGGGATGTTAAACAAACCCAAGAAGTGAAGAGTGCTTAATGAATGACGACAAAGAAAACCATTGTATTCAAATGAACGACATATGCAAGAAATCTCCTCCATTGATGCATCCCACTCTACAATAAAGCCTTCATTTTTTTCAATTTCTAAGACTTTGAAGGTCAAGATTTTCTCATCTTCCTTCTCTTTTACAAGATGACACCCAAATATTCCTAACACTTCAATTTGAAACTTTTTAAATACTCCATGAGTGTACACCATGGACATCTGTTTCTCAAAAGGTGATGGAGTTCTTAAAGCTGGTGTCTTATGCCATGTTGTAAAATCAGCAAGATTTTCTGCCTCTTGTCTATCTTGCAAAGCCACCTCGTATTTCTCAAGAAACTCTTTCAATGTAGTTTTCCTACACACATATTTGTCAAGAAATGAGTTAATACTTTCTGACCTTTGAGTTGTTGACATCCCAGCAAAAAAGGTATCTTTCATATAAGTTGGTACCCAATGCTCACGATCTTCATACAATGATTGGATCCATTCATCTTCAATAAGATCAAACTTTTCAACCATTGCTTGCCATCTTTCTTCAAATTGGTCCTTTGTCCAAGACTTGTGAATACATTTTTTGAAAATTCCCATAAAATCTTCATTTTTTCTAAGAACATAATCAAGTTTCTCAGGAATCTTTCTTAATATATGCCATAGACAATAATGATGTCTTGAATTAGGGAAAACTAGTTTAATGGCTGCTTTAATTGCTTTGTCTTGATCCGTTATAATTGCACTTGGAAGCTTGCCACCCATGGCTCTAACCCATGTCTTCATTAACCAAGTAAAGGTTGATGTTGACTCATTAGCAAGTAAAGCACATCCAAGTAAAGTTGCCTGATGATGATTATTCACTCCGATAAATGGAGTGAAAGGCATTTTGTACTTGTTTGTGATGTATGTTGTATCAAGAGAGACAACATCACCAAACTCCCGATAGTCCTCTCGACCTTTTGCATCAACCCAAAAGATATTTTTCAAATGATGTTCTTCATCCAAATCCAGTGCATAGAAGAAGTTTGGATTTTCTTCTTGCATGTGTACGAAAAATTCAAGCATTGCATTAGCATCACCTGATTCTAACGCTAAACGGCATTCTTTATCTAACTGATTTCTAAAATCTTTCTCTAAGCAGCCAATATTTTCATATCCACCATGTTGCTTGGCCACTGCAACATAACTTCTAATTGCTTTCACTCCAACATCATCCAAAGTACTGATGTCATGCCTTTTGGCTGAATTAATTCTCCTATGGTAGGGGAAAAAATGAGAATCTGCTGGAAAAAGCTCATGATTATGATCCTTAATCAAATTTTGAACAAACCACTTCCCATCCTGTTTTCTTTTGATATGTAACGTCGCCTTACAATCCATCTTCAAACAAGGTCGTGGATTAACAGCATTAGATTCCCTCTTTGATCCATGTCTTGTGCATGCATATTTCACATCAATAAATTGCCTAGATATCTTTGATCGCCGACTAGCCTTAGTTGCCACAGCAAATCCAATATTCTTGGCATAATTTTTGTAAAATGAATAAGCACTCTGAAGTGAATCAAACTCCATACCAATTTCAGGGCCTTTGTCGATGTTGTCATTACATTCAAAAGTATCTCGATTACCAATCTCATTTCCATGATCAACATCTTCTTCACAATCCACTGGATTCTCATTCCCACATTGTAAATCATTTGAATCTAAGTCGAGATCCATTCCCATGAATTCCTAGCATTGCATAAAATGAAAATGATAAATGATGGTGTTTCTTTAGACTTATGCACTATTAAAGCATTCCTGTTATACAAAATGGAAAGAAAAATAGGCAATCATTTTACCCAAATTATCTAATGTAAAAAAAAACAAAAATCATTTGTTGGTAATTAAATTTGTGACAGGGGATTGAATAGAAGGGTATGATATTAAAAAGAATTCCAACAAAAATTTAGTATAAATTTATCCTCTTGAAATATGTGCACATTCTATTTTAATTATGATTGTGAAGAAATTTTGATATTGTCAAACATAACACAATTTTAAGTGCCATCTAAATCCTAAATTGTTACACTATATGTAGATAATAATTATTTTACTCAAAGTTTTTTTTTTCTTTTTCCTTTTGTGGTTTCTCATACACAATTATTTTACTAAAAAATTAACATGTAGTTTACACACCACACACGCACACACACTCGCATATATAGATACATATATATAATATATAATTATATATATAGAGAGAGAGAGAGAAAGACAGAGAGAGAATGAATCATGTTTAAATAAAAAAATCATATTACATATAGAAGTAAAAAGTTGAAGAAATAGTACTTTCTTACCTAGTATCCAATTCAATAGTAAATATTGTACATGAAACGAGAACTTTCCAGCTCCTTTAATGCCAACGGAAAGGAAAAAGGTCAAGTTCCTCTTTTTTTTCCATTTTCTTTATATGGAGCGTGCGATGGTATAGTATTTTAAAAGCTTTAAAAGCATGTTTTACCATTTCTTATCATGGTCAAATTTTCATTTCATTTACACTTGCAGCGAGGCAACTTGTAGCAACAGGCAATTGGTTTTTAGTGAAAAAGTGAGATGATGTGGCTTCACAAAATCTAGAGTGTTGAGGCACAGTTCTTGGGGCTACTGCCCCTACCATTCACCTACAAGCATAAACAATGAACTACATTAACATATGTTTTATATTTTTAAAACAATATTATCCATGATAACTTTCAAGAAGGTATGTGTATCAAAGAAAATATACTTGAGCAACATACCAGCCAATCTGAATCTAGACAATGTATTAAAAAATTAAAACAAAAACAAATTTTCTGATATGTAGCATCTTAACCAGTATCCACAAGTATGTACTAAAAAGAATATAAGGTCAAAATATTTCTCATACAATACAAAGCTGCAATCTAAAGCCTAGGTTGAGAAGTTCAACTTCTCCCTTAAATTCAGAAAAATAACCAGTAAAATTAATTATCAGCAGAGTAGATGGAAAATTTTCTCCTACTTATTTCCAGCGTGTGTAAACGTCATTTTGTAAGTGAAAGAGAGAGCCAAATGTAAAGAAAAACCTGATTGTTTCTTACAACAGCCTGTTGACTCCAAAACTAAAAGATGCTTAGATGGAGATCACCATTTCAGTCAGGGATGACAACGGTTAGGATACCCACTAATTTTGAGATACACATATGCAAATCCAATTACCAAAAGCAATACCAATACCCTATCCGAACTCGTTTAGCAACACCTTATTAAAACTCTTTATTTAGTTAAAAAGAGTACGTGTACCCTTTAAAAAAAACCCGACCAGGCCAAATTCAATAATAAAAAATATTTTAAATTATTTTTATATGTTTTATTAATCAAAATTAAATTAATAATTTTAAAAATATACTTCATATAGATCATTTATAAATGGGGAGGGATCAACTTACACCAAAAAATTTTACACTTTTTTCTATGCATTGATTTTAATAGATATAAGGGATGAGATTAAATCATTTTTTTCTTTTTCACTTGACTCTCTTATCGTTTGGATCTATTGAAATCAATGGTTAAAAAAAAGTATAAAACATTTTAGTTTTACACTAGTGTAAGTTAATCCCTTCACTTTATAAATTGTAGTAAATGATTTGTCAACTATAAGTAATATAAATATTAAAAAAAAATTAAAAAACCCATTATTTATAATCACGCTCAGGTGGTGGATACCCTAAGCTTATTACCCATACCCTAACTAAACCTGTTTATAGGGTATCCTAATCCTAATTAAATTGGTCGGATAGTGCCTGATACCCTTGTATACCCTACCATTGCCATCCCTAATTTCAAGAAAAGACACGCATTTATTTGATTGGGAGCCATTCTTCAAAAGATCATGGGAATAGCAATAGAGTTCACCTTTGTACTCGGTTCTATCAATTCAGCATTCTGTTTCAAAGAAGCCTCAAAGAAAGAAAGCATGAATCTTTCAACTATCATTATGCTGAATAACTCTTGACTATTGGAACTTGATACTCATTCAAAGGATACGACTAATAACTCTTGTCTATTGCAACTTGATGATACTCATTTAAAGGTTAAGACTAGACATCATTTATAGACAGGTGCAAACATCTAGGGGTGCCAGTATAAAAATAAAAATAAATGTTAAGTAAAGATAACTTTTTAACAAAAAGTGTGCTAAATTCAAATGAATTTAATGTATAAATTTCTTTTAATAAGTAATATATATATATATATTCACATATTGTAATTCATATTGTCCACATAAAGGATTAAAAAAAAAAGATCAAACTAATAATTTCTTCTTTAAAGATAAAACAGTAATTACATAACTTTTAAACAATTAAAGCTTGATAGGAGGTATCTAATAAACGAAGAAAGTTACATGGTCTATTACGTTTGTTTGCAAATTATAGCAACTAAATTTTCTTTAATTTAATGTAGTTTCTTTTGTAAGTCTCGATGTAATAATTAGTGTCAACATATTTATTAGATTGATTGAGAAGGTAAATTCATAACTTAAAGATTTAACCGTAATCTTAGATAAAGAATACCAAAAGAAAATCTAATTAGTACTTAAGTTTTGGACTAAAAAGTTAACTAATTATAGAGTTCAACAAACTGATTGGTGGCACAAAATTTGGTAAGCCCAACCACCCCCCTCACTTTGCCCCTGATTACAGGCCATTATCATTTCATTGAATTTAGGATTACCATTTTATCTTTTTCACTAGTGGAATGAAAGCAAGCAATATAATATATCAAACATAAGCATCAGCAAAGAGCGCAACATATAAACAACAAAATGAGGATAGCCCTGTAAAAGTCCAGCTCTAGCAAACCTTTTGTTTAGAGGGAATGCTATCAAGATGAAATGACCACATGAAGCCATTAATCAAGAAGTAACACACATATTCTTCTAATAGTAAAATCTGTGTCTCAGGATGAACATTTTTCTCCCTTGTGGCCAAAGAAACAAGAAACAAACTAAACTTAAAAAAACTATCTAATATATTGTCAGTGTATAAAATAATAATTCTTAAATTTATCCGAATTTTGCATTGCCTCATAAAACTCTGAAACAAGTTAAAACTCAAATGAACTTGAACCAATTTCCAGTAAAGGTGAAATTTTACATCTCACAGCCACATAACTATAGTAGAAACCAAACCCAGTATCAACTAAAAGCTTTCAATTCAATGCCATAATAATTAATACAGTGAACAAATGCAAAGAAATGGGCAACTTTTGCTGCTACCATTGATTCACCTTTAACTCTTTGAAGCAACAAAAATAATATTCTGAACCCTTAAATATTAAACAGTGATTCGACAGCGCAAGTACCAAAGAACTGAAATTAAAAAATGGGTCTAATTCACTGGGCACCTTAAGCATAATCTAAACTTATGCAATAAAAAGTTAAAAGAAAAAGAAAATTAATGCTTTTTCTTAACTCAGGTGATCACTATTTTCCATAATGAAATAGGTCACTTTCATCAAAAACTAAAAATTTTAACTACCCAATTGACTACCTAAATGTTACCTTGAATTAATTTGGGTCTATCTCTTTAAAATTGCTTGATGACCGTGAGACCTGAAGCTTCAATCTGTTGATAATCTTTAACAAGAAAAGGCTAAAAAAGGGGAAGCAGTGAGAGAGATAGTGAGGGAGAAGGAGGAGTCAAATCTATATGGTTGGACTCGACACCGACGGGCCGGTTTGACCGCAAAAGGCTTGGTAGGTGAAGAGAACGACGGGTCTGCTGACATAGTGAGAGGGAGAGAGAATGAGAAATTGGAGGACTTTTCTGAATTTATATTGTAGAACGATTGGGAGAATATGGGAATTTCGACCGTAAATTTGATCGGCTAAATGCTTAATTTAGTACTAAATGTTTGTTTGGTTGATCAAAATTAAATGTCTGATTTTATATAAATAAAGATTAAATATTATTAATTTATAATAATAAAAAGATTTTTTAAATAAAAATATGATTATAAAATACATACGTTATTAAATTTAACATATAAAAATAACATGAAATTTCTTTAAATTTTAAATATTTTAATATATTTATACTTTATTTCTAAATTTTTTGCTTAAAAAAATATCAAAAATGATATAATTCAATAAACAATCAAAATTCAAGTACAATTTCAATTCAAAACTCAAAAACAATTAATCAAGATATAGTTTCAAATAATAATCAAAATCTAAAATTAATTTAAAAAAACTAATGCCAAATATATCAAAAAAGCTAAATCAAAAAGCAAAACCACAAGCAAAAGATTCTAGAGTAATTTAAACCATCTTTTAAGTGAATATCTTAAGAATATAATCTCATCTTTCTTTTTATAGGCTTTCAAAAAAGAATTCAAGCAAACCTCAAGATTTTTTCCAAAACAAAAAACATCCAAAACTTTGATTTCTCAATAAATAATGTTTAATATCCAAAGCCATAAACTTTTCCCTAATTTTTATATTTCTAAGGTTTTGATTTAAAAAAAAAAATCTTACCTTAAATTAAAATAACCTCAACTCTGTCATAGATAAAGATGAAAGGAATCTTTGTTGATTCAAAACTTTGTGATTCTATTTCAAGGTTGAACTCTTATAGTTTTACAAATCTAATTACTATGAATGGGATTAGTAGTATTTGGGTTGTTGAGTTTTTGTTGATTTACAAACTTAGAAGAAGAAAAAAAAGAAAAATATTAAAAATTGATCACAAATCTTTTATAAGAAACAAGCAAGGAAGCAAAATTGTTGACAGGTAGAAAAGTTTTTGAAAAAGGCAATGTGAGAAAATGATTGAGAGATAAATTTTTTTTAGAAGTTAATTAATTAAACTAATTTTTAAAATTATAATTTAAATTGATATTTTATTATCTTGAATATGTGAACAACAATATTGCCACATTAGCAAAAAAAATGCACCATTGACTTACCACATAAACCAAAATTATATGTGTGCTGAGTAATTCAATATTTCACTTGAGTTGATGGTGTTTGTAATATACTTTTTCAAGTTTATCAGAAAAAATCTTATATTATTATAACTCGATAACGTTTAATCTTTATTCACATAAAATAAAATATTTAGTCTTAAATTGAGCAACCACCCAAATGTTTAATTCGAAATTGAGCGTTTAATCAAATAAAATATTTAGTCTTAAATTGAGCAACCACATAAACGTTTAATTCAAAATTGAGCGTTTAACCAATTCGATTTATATCATACGATTTAGGGAGATTCTATATTCACCAAAAAAAAAACTCTTTATACCCAATTTTTTTAAAAATATCTAAATGTGAAATTTCTTATATATCATTTACTAAATTACATTTTTAACCTTTTTACATCCATTTATATTTACTTCTTCT